ACTACACAACACTTGTGACAGTGTTTTTTAGCCACTACACTACACTTGTGACAGTGTTGTAGCATACTACACAACACTTGTGACAGTGTTGTAGCACACTACACAACACTTGTGACAGTGTTGTAGCAAAACCACAACACTTGTGACAGTGTTGTGCACACTACACTACACTTGTGACAGTGTTGAAGCACACTACACAAACACTCGTGGACAGTATTGTAGCACACTACACAACACTTGTGACAGTGTTGTAGCACACTACACTACACTTGTGACAGTGTTGTAGCACACTACACAACACTTGTGACAGTGATTGTCGTAGCACACTACACAACACTTGTGACAGTGATTGTCGTAGCACACTACACAACACTTGTGACAGTATTGTAGCACACTACACAACACTTGTGACAGTGATTGTTGTAGCACACTACAAGACACTTGTGACAGTGATTGTCGTAGCACATCACAACACTTGTGACAGTGATTGTTCGTAGCACACTACACAACATTTGGACAGTATTTTTACCCACACTACACAACACTTGTGACAGTGATTTTGTAGAAACACTACAGACACTTGTGACAGTAACTGCTGTAGCACCTACACAAAAACTTGGGGACAGTAACTGTTGTAGCAATACAAGCTACTTGTGACAGTAACTGTTGTAGCACACTACAAGACACTTGTGACAGTAACTGCTGCAGCACACTACAAGACACTTGTGACAGCAACTGCTGCAGCACACTACAAGACACTTGTGACAGTAACTGTTGTAGCACACTACAAGACACTTGTGACAGTGTTGTAGCACACTACACAACACTTGTGACAGTGTTGTAGCACACTACACAACACTTGTGACAGTGTTGTAGCATACTACACAACACTTGTGACAGTGATTGTCGTAGCACACTACACAACACTTGTGACAGTGTTGTAGCACACTACACAACACTTGTGACAGTGTTGTAGCACACTACACAACACTTGTGACAGTGTTGCAGCACACTACACAACACTTGTGACAGTGATTGTCGTAGCACACAAGACACTTGTGACAGTAACTGTTGTAGCACACTACACAACACTTGTGACAGTAACTGTTGTAGCACACTACAAGACACTTGTGACAGTAACTGTTGTAGCACACTACAAGACACTTGTGACAGTAACTGCTGCAGCACACTACAAGACACTTGTGACAGCAACTGCTGCAGCACACTACAAGACACTTGTGACAGTAACTGTTGTAGCACACTACAAGACACTTGTGACAGTAACTGTTGTAGCACACTCCAAGACACTTGTGACAGCAACTGCTGCAGCACACTACAAAACACCTCTAGGAGTCGGAAACTGCTGCATCAGGTCCGTTGCTCCTAGAATAACAAGAAGGAAAATTCTCATATTCTTTCTTCGTGGCTCAGTTCCCTCAGCTACCAGTCTTGATGCTCTGATTTCCAAACTTCCAAGATTTAAGTTGTGTTTTTGAAGGCAAGAACATCACAACGACGGTACATGCTAAAGTAAGATTTGAATGTGTGTATTAGAGCGTGTACTGAGAAAATTAGCCTACATCGCTAATATTGTTGTGTCTACGTGTGTTCCAGGAGACAGATTTGTGGTAGTGGTTGTTTCAAGGTCTTTTTCCTTAATTGCTGTTGTATGTTTTAACTCTCCAGCAACACCCAGATCAGCGGTTAACCGGGGGGGACGGCGCTTCCCTAGGTCTGGGGGGAGAGCGTGAGTATTTTTCCGAAGAAGAGCGAACCCAGGGAGAAAAAACATGGAATATTTTGTGTATTGGCCATTTTCTCCTTATAGACTTCTGAATGGTTTAAAATAATAAAATAATAAATTCAGTTTCTTTATTTAAATAAACAAGATTCTTTTTTATTTTTGCGTTGAAAATTTTGTTTGAGGGCATGGAGGGGGGGGGGGGGGGTCATGGAGATGAGGACCAGCAGCGATAAGGGACGCTACCCAAAATATGATGAGGACCATTGATCTGGATGATATTTTAGTCGTCCTTCCTGTATCTCATTATCTTAGCTTGGTTGATGCTGGAGATGATAACTTTCACTTAATTTTCCTTCATGAATATGCTAAGTAACCTTGTATGTTAATCCGTCACATCTTTCTGTGAGATTAGTAAGGTAGGATCTTCTTTTTTTTCCCCTTCATACTTGACGGTCTATGAAGAATATATTTCTGTTTACATGTTCATCTGGTGTTTTGTAGCTCTGGTGGTCGGCACCTCAGTTACTGTACCAGTCGACCGGGGTTCGATTCCCTTGGTATGAATGTAAACATTTCCTTAAACTTGCTGCCTCTCTTCACCTAGCAGTACGTAGGTACCCGGGTGTTAGTCGATTTGGGAAGAGGATTACAGGACTCCAGTCAGTCAGTCCTGAATAACATTCTGACTGTATTAGGTTATCGTGGCTTACTAACCTTCCGAGTTAGTAATCCTAAGATTTTTTTTTTCATTATATCATGAAATTCGCATGTTACGCACTCTGGTCGATAGGTTTGTGCTGCCTTACCCCTCAAGGAAGGTTCCTTGATGTTGGTGAGGGGCTCTTGATTTAGGGAATTGGATCTGTGCTCCAGTTCCCCGAATTAAGCCTGAATGCCTTCCACATATCCCCCCCCCAGGCGCTGTATAATCCTCCGGGTTTAGCGCTTCCCCCTTGATTATAATAATAATGTGCTGCCTTAGTATTGGTATTACATTTGTTATCTCCCAGTCATCTGGTTCTCCCTCTGTTCTTAAGGATCAGTACGAGTTCCTTGCAAATTATTTCGGTCCTTTCTCTTAATATTTTTTGTATTATTAAATTTGGGGCTCCATGGTACATGAGGAGCCCCTACACTTTCTCATTAGTTATTTAGTTATTTAGTTATTTTATTTGGCTTATCATCTCTTCTCCCTCTCTACTCATTCGCAACAATACTATGAAATATTCTGTTTTATTCGTTGCTAACTTCTGCCAGTTCTTGAGTGCTCCCCATTCTTCCATCAGTGTTATCATTTGATTCGTTTATGGCATTTTCCTATGAGCAGCTTTGCTCCTCTCCCGGAGATAGTCATTTGTGGGTCTTCTGTATCTGTGTGCGCTCACTTGTTTATGGGTGTAGGGAAGGAGTGTCACCTCCTGGTCCTGCCTCTTAGTTTGCCTCTTTCCTCACTTGTTTTTCCTTTGCCACGCGGACCATCTCATATTAATTCTAAAAACTGAGCATGAAACCTGCCTCCACTAATCTGTCATCAGGTCATTCCTTTTCCAGATCACCCTGAGGCTGAAATCATTCTTCCTGACATTCCTGTTTCTCATCTGTGTCTTTAACTAACCTCTTGAGAAGTCTGTATGTGTCTGTCCACTCTTGAAAGTTCTCTTCCACTGTCTTATGTATATATTTCTATAGTCACACAGATGTTGTACACGTGTTTTATTTTTTATCTTGTCGGTATTGTATATTACTGAAATACAATTCTAAACTTGTGCTCGTAATTGTTTATGACGGCCCCGTCCAAAGCAGGAGAAAATCAGAGCTGGAACAAATGCATACATCGTTTACGGTCTGCATAGAAACAGTATAACATTTAAAATACTGGGAACGTCTTAAAGTCTTAAATATACGCTCAGTGGAGCAGAGACATGATAATATGTACCTGGAAAGTACTTGAGGGTCTAGTCCCAAATCTGTTCACTGCTATAACAACATACTTAAGCGTGAGATATGAAAGTGAAAAATAAGCCCAGTGAAAAGCATGGGTGCGGTGGACACAGTAAGGGAACACTGTATCAACATCTGTGACCCCAGATTATTCACTGCCGGATAAAGTGTAGAAGTCTTCTAAAGGAAACTGGCAAGTATCTTCACCAGGTGCCAGATCAAGCAAGCTGCGATGGATATGTAGGCCTGTGGGTCACCAGCAGCAACAGCCTGGTTGAGCCTGGCCCATGGCCGGGCTCCGGGAGTAGAAAGGCTCTCGAATCTCGTCACAGGTATGGAGGTCAGTGATACGGGGCTACACTTTAATGCTTCCTTTCTGTCTCCCTCTTAAATATTTAAACTTCATTTGCTGTCTTCCAGATTTTTGGCAAATTACCCTAAATACATTGACTTATTGTAGATGTTAACCAGGTGTATGGAGCACTGCCACTGCACACACATGTAATCCAAGGTGTCTCTTCCGTATAATAATAATAATAATAATAATAATAATAATAATAATAATAATAATAATAATAATAATGATAATCCTTATTTCTACGAGTATATGATACAACTTACACAGTTTTGTATTTTTCCAGTCTCGGTATTGTACCTTATTGTTCTTTTATGTTGTCCAGGACTTAATTTATCTTTTCTCCTAGACTTTCAACTGCTGTTTATCTGCTTAAAATACCTATATAAAAATCGTTTAGTGAACTTTTGAAATACTTTCTTCTCGTTTTTCATGAGTTCTTCTCCTTCCTTTTTCAATTTTGTTATCTGGACTATTTCTCATTTTTCTGGTGTAGCTGTGTAGCGTTTGTAAATATTTATTATTGGCATGTGCGTATGAGAGAGAGAGAGAGAGAGAGAGAGAGAGAGAGAGAGAGAGGAGAGAGAGAGAGGAGAGAGAGAGAGAGAGAGAGTGAGTGAAAGTGTGTGTATGTGTGTTGTGTGTGTGTTCTTGCCTAATTGTGGTTGCAGGGGTCGAGACTCAGCTCCTGGCCCCGCCTCTTCACTGACCGCTACTGGGCCCTCCCTCTCCCTGCTCCACGAGTTTTATCATACCTCGTCTTAAAACTATGTATGGATCCTGCCTCTACTATATCACTTGCCAGACTATTCCACTTCCTAACAACTCTGGCTGAAGAAATACTGCAGCCAGAGAGTTGTTACACACACACACATACACACACACACGTACGTGTGTGTGTGTATGTGTGTGTGTGTTTCTCCTTGGCCCTACACTAACTTTTCTCCTCGTAACATACAGGCACCCCACTAGCGGGTCAGATGGAGGAACTTCTTTACGACCTGCTTGACCTGCGGATCTACGTCAGCGCTGACTACATCAAGAAGATTCCCTGGACATAGTGGCCTGTCTGCTCGACTTGGTGTCTGCCAGCCTGCCTGCAACTCTCCCAGGTGAGTGACAGCGACATGTTACAACACTACGCTCGCCTCTCCAAAAGGAAAGCCTTACCATGTACATGTATGTTCACACAAATTCTTTCTTCACAAACACATTAGAACAATCAGAGAGGGAAAAAATATAAACGAGAGTTTAACTGTACAAGAACGAACTAACAGTTGGAAACCTCATCTTAAATTTTCTTGACGTCCTGTACGTGCTCCGACCCTCTCTTTCTTTCTTTCTCTTTCTCTCTCTCTCTCTCTCTCACACACACACACACACACGCGCACACACACACACAAAACTGCTGCAACATATGGACGCCTGGCATTCCTAGTAATAGCGTTTCGACACCTAAGTAAGGAATGATTCACGACACTTCCCCGTGTATGTCAAACCCACACTTAGTCAAGCACGTCAAGAAACTGAAGAAAGTGGAAAAGTTTGCAACAAGACTAGTTCCGGAGCTGAGGGGCATGTCCTACGAGGAGAGGTTAAGGGAACTTAACCTGATGACACTGGATGACAGGAGGATTTGAGGAACGGGAAGCCATGATAACCACGTATAAAATACTGAGGGGAATTGACAAGGTGACCATGGCCAGAATGTTTCAGAAATGGGACGAGAATACATAAGCTGAAAACTCAGATGAATCATAAAGATATTAGGTAGTATTTCTCCAGCTTTAGAGTTGCTCTCAAGAAGTGGAACAATCTGGAGAGTGAAATAGCAGAGGCAGGATCCGTACATAGCTTTAGGAAGAGTTACGATAAGGCTCTTGGGACAGGGAGAGAGAGAGAGAGAGAGAACCTAGTAGCGACTAGCAAAGAGCCGGGGCCTGGAGCTGTGACCGACCTGCAACCACATGTAAGCGAAAACTTACGCACATACACTTCGAGTGGTGATAGTAAAGAAGTAGGGCAAGGAACTGTGACTCGACCTCTGTAACCACAAATAGGTGAGTACAAATAGATGAATGCAAACACACATACTCGAGGGAAAGAAACCAGCCAGTCAAATTGATTTTCAAGACAGAAATGGTGAGGAACAGGATCCTGCAGCAGAAACCACGGCTAAAGCAAACAAAATGCCAGAGGGTGTACCTAGATGGCAACAGAAAGAACAAAACGACAAAAACTGAAAGGATACAAAGATGAAAAGGGCAAGAAAGAGAGACAAGGCTAGAGTCAGGAGAGGACAACCATAGCCGGGAGGAATAACATGTGCAACCACCCACAGAACCACTCACAGATCCCAGCAACCAAACATACTATCCTAAAACAAACCTGCCTCCACACTCAGTCCCCACCCCACCTAACACAGTAGACTCCTATAACACTGCCAGGTCTCCCACTCCCCCAGCTTCCACAACCCCCCCCCATCCCCCAGAATACAGTGTTTGAAAAAAGCTGATGGAATGGTACACCAGTGCAGATGAAATAACGAATAAGTGTGAATCACAGAGGCAACAGTAAACATCATACCACTCACGGAAACCAAGCTCACAGGATTGATAACAGATGCCATCTTTCCGACTGGATATCAAATCCTGAGGAATAATAAAGGGAATAGAAGGGGTGGAGGAGTTGCACTGTTCACCAAAAGCCAGTGGAGGTTTGAGGGGTTGGAGAAAGGGGACAGAGGACAAGCAAGGGATTACATAATAGGAACACTCAGACTGGAGGTCCCAAGGTGGTGATTGTAGTAAGCATAACCCACCACAGAATGGCAGGAGGCCAAGCAATGGTTGATATAATATCTGAGGTAGCAAGAAGAACCCACATGGGTTGGGAAAAGTTACTAGTTTTGGGTGATTTCAACCACAAGGAAAGTGATCAGGAAATCCTGGAACCACCTGGGGGACCAGAAACGTATAAAGGCTAAGATAATGGAGGTGATACTGGAAAACTTCATGCATCAACACGTTAGGGACACTACCAGAGAGAGAGGAGATGATGAACCGCCTTGAGTAATTTAGACACTGAATACATCACATATGAAAGGCCCCTTGGAGCTAGTGAGCATGTGGTTCTGAGCTTCAAATATATAGAGTTACAAGTGGAGAGAGAAGCATAGGACAAGAGAAGCCAAACTTCAAAAGAGGGGTCTACACAGTCATGAGGAATTTCCTGCCCGAGGTTCAGTGGTAAAGAGAACTGGTGAGAAAATCAGTAAATGAAATGATGGAATTCGTGACAAAATGCAAGGACACAGAGGAGAGGTTTGTTCCCAAGGACAACAGGAGTAATGGGAAGAGCAGAAGGAGCCGTTGGATCACCAAAGGTGCAGAGAGGCCAAAACTAAGTGTGCTAGAGAATGGAAAAAGTATAGAAGACAAAGGACTCAAAAAAATAAGGTGATCAGTCGAAGAGCCAGAAATGAATATGCACAGATAAGGAGGGAGGCCTAGTGGCAATGCGAAAATGATGTAGCATTGAAAGCCAAGTTTCACCCAAAGCTACTGTGCAGCTACATCAGGAGGAAAACAACAGTCAAGGATCAGATACTCGGGCTAAGGAAGGAAGAAGGGAAGATCACAGGAAACGACTTAGAAGTATGCAAAGAACTCAACGTCAGATTAAAGGAAGTATTTTCAGTACAGATAGAAAGAATTCCAGGAAGCCGGACTGATGGAGTACACAAACAAGTTCTGGACACATTACACAACCGATGAGGAGGTGAAGAGGGTGCTAAGTGAGCTAGATATCTCAAAAGTGGTGGGACCAGACATCTCTCCATGGGTCCTGAGAGAGGGAGCAGAGGCACGGTGTGTGCCACTAACAACAATCTATCGAAGCAGGGCGACTACCTGAGGTGTGGAAGACAGTAAATGTTGCCCCAGTTTTTAAAAAGGAGACCGTCATGCAACGTTAAGTTACAGATTAGTGTCATTGACATACTATGCAAAATCATGGAGAAGATTATCAGGAGAAGACTGGTGGAGCACCTAGAGAGAACGAGCTTATATACAACAATCAGCACGATTTCAGGGAAGGGAAAATCTGTGTCACAAACCTGCTGGAGTTTTACAACAAGGTGAAAGAAGTAAGACAAGAGAGAGAGAGGGGTGGGTAAATTGCGTTCTTTTTTTTTTGGGGACTGCAAGAAGGCTTTCGATACAGTTTCAAACAAGAGATTATTGCAGACGATAGAGAATCAGGCAGGTATAACAGGAAATGCACTGTAATGGATCAGAGAATACCTAACAGGAAGGCAACAGCGAGTCATGGTACATGACGAGGTATCAGAATGGGCGCCTGTGACTAATGGGGTTCCACAGGGGTCAGTCCTACGACCGGTGCTGTTTCTGGCATATGTGAATGACACGATGGAATGAATAGACTCAGAAGTGTCCCTGTTTGCAGACAATGTAAATCTAATGAGGTCATTTTAACCGGATGAGGATCAGGCAGGACTACAAAGGGATCTGGACTGGCTGCAAGTCTGGTCCAGCAACTGGCTCCTTCTGTATAGCCCAGTTTGAGTATGCAACACCAGTTTGGAACCCACACTTTGTCAAGCACGTCCAGAAATTAGATAAAGTGCAATGGTATGCAACAAGACTTGTCCCAGAGTAAAGGGGCATGTCCTTCGAGGAAAGGTTAATGGAAATTGACCTGACAGCACTACTGGACAGGAGAAATATGGGAGACATGGTAACGACATATAAAATACTCAGAGGAATTGACAAGATGGGTAGGGACAGGATGTTTCAGAGATGGGATGCTGGAACAAGGGGTGACAATTGGAAGTTGAAGACTCAGATGTGTAACATAGATATTAGGAAGTATTTCTTCAGTCATAGAGTTGTCAGGAAGTGGAGTAGTCTGGAGAGTGATGTAGTGGAGGCAGGATCGATACATAGCTTTAAGGAGAGGTATGATAAAGCTTTAGATTAGGGAGATAGTGGACCTAGTAGCAACTAGCAAAGAGGTGGGGCCAGGAGCTATGACTCGACTCCTTCAACCACAGTTAGGTGAATTAGGTGAGTACACACACACACACACACACACACACACACACACACACACACTCACTACCCACATGGAATCCACATCTGATCAAATATGTCAAGAAACTGAAAGAAGTGCAGAGGTTTGCAACATGACTAGTCACAGAGATTATAATCAAAACTAGGTGGGATGTGCTAAAGAAGGAATAAGTGAAAATCAAAGACCAGTGAGAGTTAGGAGTGTGCCAGAGGTAGAGTCAGTAAGGGTAGTGGAGAGTGTTAAAATGAAAAATCTAATCAAAGTTAGTGTAATAAGTTAGTTGCTGATAAAAAGTCGAAGAGGAAGTCTGTGTCCAAGATGGAACTTTCAGCGAGGCCAGATAGAGTTAATGTGTTAGGGTCGTGACGACATTGGAAGTAAATTTGCGCGCCAGCTTATAGAAAAGACAGTCTGTTAAGAGATGATGAACTGATGAGATATGTGTCAGTCCTCACAGAAAGTTGCCGGCCATGTTTTTCCTTAAGATATCAGTGATTGAGACGTGTATTTCCGATAGGCAGGTGGGAGAGTGTAGTCTCCCATACACGACAACGATGGTAAGGTGACCAGAAACACAAACAAGATTTGGCTAAATGCAATTTATTGAGGACCATCTCAGACCACCTTTGTTGCCAGCGGTTGCGAAGTTGTTTAAAGATTACTGCAAAATAGTCTGAGAAAGGAGGATCACTGTATGAAACGAAAAAAGTCATGAAATTTTGACCCAACAGCGGAATCCACTTGCTCGTTGCCCCGCATGTCTACGTATCCAGGGAAACGGCAAAAAATGCCTTTGTTTATTAGAAATGCAACTTAACCAAAGTTGCATACGTAAAACAATGGGATGAGGAGAATCAAATTTCTGGGTAGGCATTGATACAATACTTATAACGGCCATGAGAACTGTATGCAATTCAGGTGTGAAAATGGTAGCTTAGTCAAATAAGTGACTTAGAACTATCAGCGCAGACCAAGTGGTCAAGAAAAAGTGAGCAGGAAGCTATAGTAGGTAACTGAG